ATCCTCCCACACCATTTGTCATCTTTTTTGGAGGGCACTCCAAGCGTGAGCAGCGTTCAATACAGCTGTGCTGCTTTTTAATCATCCATTGTTTAAAAAGACCCAAACCATAATTTTAAGTCTGCTGTGGGTAAAAACAAGACTTTTTGTTGGTGAGATAGGTAAATAATGGGACTTTGGAATGAAAGGAGACGGCGGGTGGGTGAGTGCGTGAGATGGGCACTGATGAGTGGAGACACGTGCTGTTTCTGAATAGTACCTGTTTGTCATCCTGCCTTACCCTCGGGTCAGCAGAGGTGGATTTTTAAATTCTGAAACTCATGGGATCCCGTGGGTATTTGCTTTATGAGCACACCGTATGAGTGCAAAATTAACTGTACACCAGCCATTGGTATTTATTATGCCAATAATGCAAGTCTTCCATGATTTAGAATAGGTCAAAACATGTTCACTTTTTATAACTATGCCAATGAAATTAATAAGTTAATAAGTTTTGGACTTCCCTGGCAGTGCAGTGGTTAAGACTCTGCTTTCTACTGTAGGGGGTGTGGGTTCGATCCCTGGTCGGGGAACTAAGATCCTGCATGCTGCGAGGCATGGCCAAAAAATTTTTAAAAAGTTAACAAGTTTTGTTTTAAGTTAAAAAGATTGCAAATGAAAATGCAACATTTTACGCTCCAAGTCAGAGGCCTTCTCACCCTTCAAAAGAGGCTAGCAAAGTGGAAAGGAGTTAAAGGTACACTGGAAGGCTGCTTTCTCCTTGGTGCAATTAGAAGGTTTGAAGAAAGTTGAAAAGAGATTAATTTTCACTCCCAATGTCGCCAGTGTCTTCTAACTCCCATGTCCAGACATCACCTATAAATGATCTCTCACTCCACCTGTGATGAGCAGCACTCAGACTGGGGGACCCTGCTGTAGGTACCGAGGTCCGGGGCTGGGCACTCTGCCTGTAATGGATGGAGGGGGAGCTGCAGGGGCCCAGCCTGAAGGTGAGAAGGCCCCAGACTGCCCTGCACACAGTGTTCCTTTGAGGCCTAGCAGCCTTGGTCCCTCTAGAGCTCCTGGACTCTGAGCTCTGTCTGCTTAGCAGTTTGGCTTGGTAGAATTTCCATGGGCTTCAGAGTCAGGCAGATCTGCAGCAAACCTCTTCCTGGCACAAGGGACCCAACCTTGTCAGTAGACTGGGTTTAGTAATTGTCAGTTGGGATTAAATGAAATAATGGGAATATGTAAGCCTCTGTCCCAGAGCTTGGCCACACAGCTGGTGTACAGTAATGGCATCCGTTATTATTTCATACATCTTGGGCTTAGGGTAGGAGCAGATCATCAAACCATCCTCCATGCATTGGCTTTCAACCTCATGGTCACAGGATGGCTACTGGAATGCAGACGTTGCATCAGTATTAAGTCAGGAAGAAGGAGGAGGCGGACGTGCTGTCTCTGTTCTTTACATCCAAACCCAAAAGCCTTCCCCAAAGCCCCCAGCAGATTTTTTGTGAGTCCAGTTGGCCAGCTCCGGTCACTTGGCTGCCCACAGCTGCAAGGGAGGCTAGGAAAATCAGTAAGGAGGAGGTTAGGGTTGTCATGACTTAGCCCAGGCATTTTCCATCACATTGCCCAGAGTAAAACAGGAATCCTGTCTGTAGGGAAGAAATGGGTAATGGCTGATGGGAAAGCAGCCCGTATCATCTGCCCCAGGATGGTTATTTGATTCCTCCTGATGGCTCTCCCCTGCTCTGCCAGCCTGCCACTGTGGTGTCAGAGCAGAAGTGAGGAAGTAGCCTGAGACTGACTTAATTTTGCAACAAAGGTTGGGTACAGAATAGAAGCTTCTGGAAACAACACCTAGAATCCCTTCGCCCACCCACAAGCATTTGCACGCTCTCTTCCCTCTTTTAGAAATACTTTTCCTCCCGTGTTTAGGGACAACATTCATCTTCTCACTGTTTGGCTTTCGTCTGGGAAGATGCCCAGGCGTCCCACATCTCGGGAGGGCATGTTTGGGGCCACCAGAAAGGGAGAAAAAGGAACAAAGCATGATTTCAAGGGAGGGCCCAAGCCTGATTCAGATGGGGTGGGGCAACCAGGGAGGCTTCACCGGGGAGATGGCTTTTATTCATTCATTTAACAAACATCTCATCCCCTGCTCTGCTTCGGGCCCTGTGAGGGGCCCTGGGGAATCAAGTGAATGGAAGGTCTCAGATGGTTTGACAGCTGCCCGCTGGCAAGGGAGGCCCGCGTGACTTTGGAGCCTTTGAGGGCTGGGAGCTTCCAGGCCCCCCAGAAATGCCGCTTCCCGGTCACAGAGCCTGGATGCCGAGTACAGGAATCAGAACTAAAGAAGCTCATTGTCACACAGAAGTTTAGAGCCTGTCCAGGTTGGAGACCAGGTAAGCCTAGAAGTCCCTTACGCCCCATTGTATGATTCTGTGGGCCAGCTCTCTGCTTCCGGTGGTGAGCTCTGGAGAATCTCATCATCAAAATCCAACCCATTTCTCCAGATGGGAAGGGTTTTGTAACACCGGAGGCTCCTTTTCAAGCACTGCGGTATTGGGTGGAGGCCACTGTCTAGTCAGTGAGGAGGCTGAGAGGCTGCCCAGTGACAGCTGTCAAAAATGATGGCCGGGGATTTTTCCTCTAGCGGGTCCCCGGCCGTTGGTTTGCTAAGTGCAGCTGGGCCTGGCAGGTGCTGAAGGGTTGGGGTCGTGGACCCCCGCCAGGTCTCAGCAGCGCAGAGGTGCAGGCTGTCGCCGAGGGCCGCGCTCCGCCCCGGGGCCCCCGCCCCTGTCCCCGGCCCGGCCGCGGCCTCGCAGTTCACCCTGCTGGTGACGCGGCCCCGTGGAGGGCAGGACGAGGCTGCGACCGAGGGCGCCCTGCGGCAGGCTCCGGCCCTGGGGGGGGCAGCGCCCGGGCTGCCCGTTCGGTACCTGTGCGAAGTGGCGGGGGAGATGGCGAGGGGGAGGCGGGGGAAGACGAGGCAGACCTGCTGGACACTTCGGACCCCCCCGGGGGGAGGCAAGAGCACGCCTAGTTTGGAGGATCTGGAGGACGAGGGGACCCACGCTGGGGGAGAGGGCGGCAGCGGTGGAGCCCGGCGGGGGCAGCGTGAGCAAGACCTGCACCTACAAGGGCTGCAGCCAGACCCCGAGCCAGGTGGCCAAGCAGCGCAAGTCGTGGATGTGCAAGAAGCACCGCAACAAGATGTCCGAGGATAAGTACAAGAAGACAAGCCACCAGGCCCTGAACTGCGGTGGGGCCGCTCAGCCTGGCAGCGCAGGAAACGTCAAACTTGAGGAAAGTGCAGATAATACACTCTCCACTGTTAAACAGAGAACAGGATCTTTTGGGGATCGACCTGCAAGACCTACTCTTTTAGAACAAGTGTTAAATCAGAAAAGACGGTCATTACTAAGAAGTCCAGAAGTGGTGCAGTTTTCACAGAAACGGCAACAACTACTAAATCAGCAAGTTTTGGAGCAAAGACAACAGCAGTTTCCAGGAACATCGGTGTGAGGGAATTTATCAAGAAGTCCTACACGTTTTTTATCTTATTGTAGTGGATGGACATATTTTTATACTAAAGATAAATGGGGTAAGATTTGCCAGTAGAAGGTAAACAGTCATTTTCCTGTGAATGTGTGTGCATTTGGGGACAAATACGTATTGCACATTGTGCATCTATGACCCTGTTTCTGTTCTGCTATATTTGTTCATTTGTTTTTTTAGATTCCACATATAAGTGATATCATGTAATATTTGTCTTTCTCTGTTTTCACTTCACTTAGTATGATAATCTCTAGGTTGCTGCAAACGGCAGTATTTCATTCTTTTTCTATGGCTGAATAATTTTCCACCTTCTTTCGCATATGTATACCACATCTTCTTTATCCATTGATCTGTTGATGGGCACTTGGGTTGCTTCCATATCTTGGTTATTGTAAATAATGCTGCAGGGAACATAGGGGTGCATATATCTTTTCTAATTAGTGCTTTTGTTTTCTTTGGATAGATACCCAGAAGTGGAATTGCTGGGTCATATGGTAGTTCTATTTTTAATTTTTCTGAGGAATCTCCATACTGTTTTCCATAATGGCTACACCAATTTACATTCCCACCAATGGTGCACAAGTGTTCACTTTCCCTCACCAATACTTGTTATTTGTTGTCTTTTTGATAATAGCCATTCTGACAGATGTGAGGTGATACCTCACTGTGGTTTTATTTATTTATTTTTTTTTTTTGTGGTACGCGGGCCTCTCACTATTGTGGCCTCTCCCATTGCGGAGCACAGGCTCCGGACGTGCAGGCTCAGTGGCCATGGCTCACGGGCCCAGCCGCTCTGCGGCATGTGGGATCTTCCCGGACCTGGGCACGAACCCGTGTCCCCTGCATCAGCAGGTGGACTCTCAACCACTGCGCCACCAGGGAAGCCCCTCACTGTGGTTTTGATAAGCACTTTCCTGATGATTAGTGATGCTGAAAATCTTTTCATGGGTCTGTTGGTCATCTGTATGTCTTCTTTGGAAAAATGTCTATTCAGATCCTCTGCCCGTTTTTTAATTGGGTTGTTTGTGTTTTTGATGTTGAGTTGTATATCTTCTTTATATATTTTGGATATTAACCTCTTGTTCAGGTATATTATTTGCAAATATCTTCTCCCATTCAGTAGATGGCCTTTTCCTTTTGTTGAAAGTTTCCCTTGCTGTGCAAAAGCTTTTTAGTTTGATGTAGTCTCATTTGTTTGTTTCTGCTTTTGTTTTCCTTGCCTGAGGAGACATATCCAAAAAATGTTACTAAGACCAATGTCAAACAGCCTACTGCCTATGTTTTCTTCTAGAGAAGTTTAATGGTTTCAGGCCTTACATTTAAATCTTTAAACCATTTTGAATTTATTTTTGTGCACTGAGGTATTATGTTCTATAAAACGAATCAGTTTGGAAGTTACAAGTTGATACCCCTGTATGGTGGGCCTGACCCTGGCTCCCTGCCCGCCGGGGACCATGGCGTCTGGGATACTAGTCACACACCCGCAGGTGCTTCTGTCGGGGGGAGGTAACATTCACTGTGTCCTGCAGCCAGCAGTTCAGAGGCTTTCTGTTCGTGAAAGCCCAACAGCTGCTTTTGAAAATTGTCACAGCTTCACTCCTTTTTCTGTCTTTCAGAGTGAAGCATCTTTCAACCTAATATCAGAAAAATGTGACACTCTATCAATTCTTCGGGATCATCCTGAAAACAGGATTTACCAGAGGAAAATCCAGGTAAGGCAGAGGGTCAGAAGAAGGGGAGCCTAGATGAAATGGGCTGGAGTTGGGAGCAGAGAAAGAGGTGCCACTTTGAAGGTAAAAAAGGCTTTGCATTTGGACCAGTTTCTTGGGCAAATTAAAGGGCTCCCAGAATATTGTGATGTTGGGCATTTGCCTTAATGAGAAATCCTTTCTCTGCAAAGAAAAAAAAAAATAGCACTTTTGTTTTTAAAAAGCTAGGCACTCTCCTAAGTGTTTCCTTTCTCCCTGAGACCTCAGTACAACACTGCAAGGTCAGAACGTCTACTACCCACATTTTCCAGCTGAGGGAAACGAGGCACAGAAATTAAATGGCAAGCGCACGGCCCTACTGCTAGTGCGTGGAGGAGCTGGCATTTAGACCAGGCAGCCTGACCTCATAAAAGTCGTCTTTGTAACCGCCCTGCAAGGGCATCTCTCAGGAGGGAGAGCCCACTCCAGCCGGGCTATGAAAAAGTGGGGGTAGGGTTGCTGGAAGGATGCAGGGACAGTCACAGAACAAGAAGGAGGCTGGGCGCTCCCCTGGTGCCCCCCTCTCCACCTCTCGGCTTCCCGCCGAGAGAGCAGGAGCAAAGGCTGGGCAGCACACTGACTCTCGTGTCCCCTGGAACCCCCTCGGGAGCTGAGATGGAGTTTTCAAGGAGCGCATCCTTCCCTACGGCCTGCCTCTGGTGGGCCCTGTCAGCTCCACTCTGGTAGGACCCCTTGAAAACCAGCTCTGCTGTCAGAACCCTGACGGTAGGCAGGCCCGGGAGGCAGCCGTGGGGACTCCGGGCCATTTCAGAGGGAAGCTGACAGCCAGGAGCAGAGCCGGAGTGGGTGGCGTGGGGAGGCCACACCTCCCAAGAAACCCTTTGAAGGACTGGCCAGACTGCTCGGTGAAGGCTGGGGAGGCCCTTCCTACCGACTCTGCAGCCTCCTGGCCCACCTCACAGGAACGCCCACCCTCACTGCCCCACCACGCACGCCGCTGCACCTCCTCTCAGTGCCATTCCTCCAGGAAGTCTTCCTGGACTGCTGAAGTCTGATGTAGATGCCACTACTCCGTGGCACCCCGGTGCTTCCCCTGTCCTCCTGTCATGAGCATCTGACTGTCCATCTCACCTCAGACTGTAGGCTCCCGAGGGCAGGGCCGTGGGACCCCCCGACCCCGTTCGTGCTCAGTGTCTGACATAGGACACCCTCTGAGTAGTTTTATTTTTGTGGGATGAGAGTTGGGACACCGTGAACGGCAGCCAGTCTGAGAGGAGGGAGCAGGTGTTACGTGGGGGAGGCAGGGGCCCCGGCCCTGACGGGACACGACGGGGGTGCTGTTGGTGCAGACACCCACATTTCCTCTGCCCCCCGCAGGAACTCAGCAAAAGGTTCACTGCGATCCGCAAGACCAAGGGGGATGGGAATTGCTTCTACCGGGCCTTGGGCTACTCCTACCTGGAATCTCTGCTGGGGAAGAGCAGGGAGATACTCAAGTGAGTGGGGCACAGGGGATGCTGGGTGGGCTGCCAAGGGGCCAGCTGGGGAGGGACAGTGACCTAGCGGGCACTCTCAGCCCTCCGGTCTCAGTGCACTTAGGCAAGTCGCGTTGGGTGCGTTCTCGAAGACTCGCTGCAAGGAGAACACAAAGAAGCGTTGCCCCGTTGTTCTGGATGATCTCGCTGACCTTGAGTAACCCAGGGGTCCACCTGGTCAGCCTGGATCCAGAGTTGATGCTGTCCAAGGTCCCTCTGTCCCGCAGCTGCTGCCCGTAGCGATCCTCCCTTAGACCCTCGGGTTTTGGCTTAGCCCGAGGCTCCTCACACTTCATCATTTGTGCAAAACCCCTGGGATCCTCTTCAGACGCAGATTCCAGTTCAGTAGGTCTAGGCCGGAGGATCCCGCGTTTCTCACAAGCTCCCGGAGCAGCCGCCCGTGCCGCTGGGCGTCGGACCACGCCCAGCGTGGTCTCACAGCCCTTACAGGATGGATGAAGACCCCGGGCTTCCTCGTCAGACACCCTTCCCCACATACCCTGGGGAGGAGTGCAGAGTGGCCACGGGTCTCAGAGCCCCCGTGGTTGAACCGTGGGGAACTCCTTCGCCGAGGCAGGTTTCTACCCTGCCTTCCGTCCGGGGCCCCCTTGCTCCTGCAGCCGTCACCCAACTGGGTGCCACACGCAGACCGTGTTGTGGGCCCTGGGGATGCAGCGGCAAACGAGAGAGACAAAACACCCTGCCTGTGGGGCTGGCATCCTAACCGGAAAAGAGGGACGGTGGATACGAAGCGTACTTGATGTGTCAGATGGTGATAAGCGTTGTGGGAAGAAAAATCAGGCACGAAAGGAGGCCAGGTTGTCCAGGGGTAGAGGCTGCAGTTTTAAGTAGAGGTTGGAAAGGTAGGGGGGCAGGTGGGGTAGGGCCTCACGGGCCTTTTTAAGGACCTTGAATGTCGGCCTGCATGAGATGGAGCCACAGAGGGTTCAAGAGAGCAAGGGGCCTGCTGTGCGGCCTACAGCGTGCAGGATAAATGCAGCGGCGCGCAGCCAGGGAGCAGCAGGGGACGTGATCCGGGAGGGCCCAGAGGAGGGGTGGTGACGGTGGCCTGAGCAGGTGGAGGTCGATCGCAGAGCCCTGCAGGGATGGCGCCAACAGGATTCACTCGTGGCTGGAGTGGGGTGTGTGAGCAGAGAGAGGAGTCGAGGATGGGTGCCTGGGGTTCGGCCTGAGAGTTAAAAAAGCAGGAGCTCCATGTTGTTAAGTCCGAAATCCCCGCGAGCCATCCAAGCGGGGTCCAGCGGGAAGTACCAGGAGGGTGTTACCCCATTTTACAGATGAGTAAACCGAGCTTTGGAAAGGTTAAGTGACTTGCCCAAGGTCCCACTAAAGCTGGTGTGTGGCTGCGAGGGCCTGTGCTCCAAGTCCTGACGCCACCCTTCCCCTCCCTCACCTCGTCGGGGCGGGAGTCCTGCCCTGGGTGTTTGTCCCTCGCTTGCCTGGGTCTGTGTGTCGCCGTCTCTGTGTCCCCGGGGCTGGCACGGCGGGGCCAGCAGTCGTTGGTGAGGAATGAGTGGGGGGATGCGGCGGGGGCTCAGGAGTGCATAGCCAGGGAGGGGAAGGGCGTGAAGGCAGCAAAGCTGGGAACAGAGCTGTGCACATTCACAGCCTCACAGAACAGTGGCCAGAGGGGCCCTCCCAGCACCCCTCGTGGAGGCCTGTTACCATCACCCATACCATGAGAAAGGGGAGCCTATGGCCCAAAGCCAGAGAGCAACTTAGCAGCAGGGCTGCGGCTCCCAGCACAGCACTCCTTCCCACACCTGCCCCTGGCCAAACCGGGCTCAGATACGCCGGACGGCCCAGCCTTTGGTGGTTTGCCTTTCGGCAGAAGCGCCTCACCTTCCAGGTTAGATGGTTCCACTTCACACACACCACCCTCCCCTCACCTCCCCTGTCCCACAAGTCACCTAAGCCTCCCAGGCCTTTCTCATTGTGCCTTTAGTCCCTCGTGAAAACCCCTCCCGTGTCCTCCCTAGAGTCTGGTCTCCCCTCCCAGGGGACAGGCTGCGGTTACGCCCGTGCCAGCTGGTCCCCCAGAGCCTCTCCACTTGGTCCTTCTTGCGGGGGATGCACCCCCTTCTGTGGACCAATCACTTGGACTGTATCTCATCTCTGCTGCTGAACTCTGTGTCCTGGGGCAGCTCCTCGCCATGCCCAAGGGGACCAGGACAGGTCCCAGATGGGGCCGTGCCAGTGGGGGGCCTGCAGTGGGAGCACTAACAAAGCAGGGGTCCCTGGACCAGGTCTTGAGGGATGGTCAGTGCTGGCAGAAGTTTAGTGGCTATTTGGCCGGGAGGCCTGATTTGTGGTGTGAGTTGATTTCTGTAGTATAAATACTCTTGTCATGATTCTTTTTTTTCCAAGCTACCATCATGGGGTCACTGAACAGGGAGTTGGGAAGAGATACGTAACACATGCTATAGTCCAAATCGTATTGCCACCATCCACGCACAATAGACAAAGATTACCTCAAGAGCATAGATTATAATTTGTGTTTTAAAGTTATTTAAGTTTACATAACTTGATTCTTAAATAATGGCTGTTTAACACCTGGATGGCAAAATGCGTAAATTTAACAACTAGCTCTTGTGAGCAGGTACAAACCAGCGCTAGCACACCTCTGAGAAGAGCATCCCTGGCTAAGGGGACAGTGGAGGCTAAGGGGTGAAAACGCAAATGGGTAGTGACTGTGGGGTGTGAGGGAAGCTGTGAGACTTGACTAGAGATGAGGCTGCTGAGCTCGGCAGGGGCCCTTCCAGGACACCTGTGCTGAGGAGCTGTGTCCTGAGGGAGAAGGCTGTGGCAGGTCACTCTAAGGTCCCTGTGGAGAGGGGACCAGGAGTGAGGGAAGGCTGGGTGTGGCCCAGGCCAGAGATGGTGTTGACACACCAGGAACCGTGGGGACAGGAAGGAGGGACAGAGTCAACAGACCTTCGAAAGGTAGGATCAATGTATCTGGGAGTGGGTGGTGATTACCTCAATTTCCTCATCTGTGAAATGGGTATAGTACCCACCTCCCGTGACTGTACAGGGGAGTACGGAACAAATCAGTGTGTGGTCCACGCGGAAGTGCTTTGAAAAGTAGAAAAGTCCTACTAGAAAAAAAGTCCTAGTAGAAAAGTGACACGCACCTTCTCAGGTGTGTATGGGGGTGGAGGGTGAGTGGGATGACAGCTGACGTCACAGCAGCGCCCCCTGCAGTTCCTTGTAAGTACCAGTCTTTCCCCTCCAGGTTCAAAGAGCGTGTACTGCAGACCCCAAACGACCTTCTGGCTGCTGGCTTCGAGGAGCACAAGTTCCAAAACTTCTTTAATGCTGTGAGTTAACCTGGGCATGACAGCTGAGGGGCTAGGTCCTCCCTCGCTGGCAGAGCAGAGAGGAGCGGGCACTGGCCGGAGTCCCCTCACCGCCCAGGGCTCTGTGGTTGAGCCCCTCTGGCTCCTCCCAGCTGGGGAAGGGCTGAGGGTTGCTTCCTGCCTGTGGGGACATCGAGGGAACTGGGAGCCCAGGGCCCTGCCGTCTCTCTGGGAGGAGGTACCTCCTTTGGGGCACTAGCTCTCGGGCTGGAAACTTCCCCCAGCCTCCTTCAGCCCCTCCCCTCTCCACCCCATTCCCCAGACCCCACTAGTGAAGGTGGTGGGGTTGGAGGACTGTCAGTTCTGAATCTGTAAATAAGAATTGCAACCACGGCAGTGAGGAGGGAGACTAACCGCTGCTCCTTAGACGTGACTCCAGGCTAAGGGACTCACTACAGAGTATCTCTAACCCTGTTACTGAGCTTTGGCGGGATCTCTGATTGATCGATTTTGGTGCCTCAACTTGAGGATTTGGCGATGGAAATGCCCGTGGAGGGAGGGGCGGGGCTTGCCCGTGCCCTGGCTGAGGGCCCAAGGGCTGCAGTTTTACAGCGTGGTAGAGCTCGTGGAGAAGCACAGCTCCGTGTCCAGCCTGCTGCGGGTGTTCAACGACCAGAGCGCCTCGGACCGAATCGTGCAGTTCCTGCGCCTGCTCACGTCAGCCTTCATCAGGAACCGCGGAGACTTCTTCCGACATTTCATCGATGAGGAGATGGACATCAAAGACTTCTGCACTCATGTAGGTCCTCGGGGCCCAGGCTTTGGGGACTCGGCCTCTGGCCCTGGGCTCCACTCTCATCCCTCTCTCCTTAGGAGACTTTAGCACCAGCATTCCCTAACCAGGGGACCTGGGTGTCATGTCTACATTTGCAATTCAAAGAGCACTAGGTTAGCAAGCCAGAACACATCCCCCTTCTGCCCAAACTGTGTGGCTTTGGGCAAGTCACTTTCCCTCTCTGGGCCTCAGATTTCTCATCTGAGAAATAAGGGCTTTGGACTAGAGTGTTCACAAAATTACAGAGTAGCAACCCCAGAGTCACATTTGCCCAAGACCTGTTTTGTTTATGATGTATGGTATTTACCTGAAAGAGCTGCCAACATTTAAACATTGGGCAATTTTCATATGAATGTCTGGATTTCTCTGGAAAAATCAGAAGATCCAGCTCCCCAGGCCTTATTCCTTTTTGTTTTTGTTTTTTTTATAAATTTATTTTTTATTTATATTATTTATTTTTGGCTGCATTGGGTCTTCGTTGCTGCGCGTGGGCTTCCTCTAGTTGCAGCGAGTGGGGGCTACTCTTTGTTGCGATGCGCGGGCTTCTCATTGCCGTGGCTTCCCTTGCTGCGGAGCACAGGCTCTAGGTGCACGGGCTTCAGTAGTTGTGGCACGTGGACTCAGTAGTTGCGGCTCACGGGCTCTAGAGTGCAGGCTCAGTAGTTGTGGTGCACGGGCTTAGTTGCTCTGTGGCATGTGGGATCTTCCCGGACCAGGGATCGAACCCGTGTCCCCTGCATTGGCAGGCGGATTCTTAAGCACTGCGCCACCAGGGAAGCCCTTCCCAGGCCTTCTTCTTGCCTGGCAGTAATCAGCAGGAGCTAAATGGCAGCTGCCCTAGTTATTGGGACTCAGTAGGCAGCTTGTCTCTCCACTGACTCACCCACTCGCTCGCCTAGCCCTCTGTAAGCACATAAGCTTGAAATCCCTTTATGATAAAGTCCCTTTCTGCTGAGATTCTTTGACTATGTGCATTAGGAAGCCCAAGCTGAAAAACTCCTGCCCCCCCTTTCCAGATTGTTCAAAGTAGTGTCCTCTTCTCACAACTAGGGGGTCCAGAATCAAAAAGATCTAGATTCAAGCCTTGCAATTGTGGCAATTTCTATCTGTTACCTCCTCAGTGAGCCTGCGTTTCCTCCTCTGGAAAATGCAGATGTCAACATCTGCCTCACAGGTTGTTGTGGAGATTACTTCCCAGCGCAGAGGTTTTGACCTAGGACCGTGAAAGCCAGGGTTGGACCTCTCACTTGTCCTCTGCCAGGCCTCCATCCTCAACTGGGTTGTTTTTTCACTGTGACCTTTGCAGGAAGTGGAGCCCATGGCCATGGAGTGTGACCACATCCAGATCACGGCCCTGTCCCAGGCACTGAACATTGCCCTGCAGGTGGAGTATGTGGATGAAATGGACACGGCCCTGAACCACCACGTGTTCCCCGAGGCTGCCATCCCTTCCGTTTACCTGCTCTATAAAACTTCCCACTACAACATCCTTTATACAGCCGATAAACGTTGATTAATTTTAGGCCATGCAGTGGAGCCTGTCACCTAACGGGACTGCATTCTTTTTTTCTTTTTTTTTTTTTTTTTTTTGCGGTACGCGGGCCTCTCACTGCTGTGGCCTCTCCCGACTCGGAGCGCAGGCTCCGGACGTGCAGGCCCAGCGACCATGGCTCACGCGCCCAGCCGCTCCGAGGCATGCGGGATCCTCCCGGACCGGGGCACGAACCCGTGTCCCCTGCATCGGCAGGCGGACTCTCAACCACTGCGCCACCAGGGAAGCCCTACGGGACTGCATTCTGAATGGAACATTACAGCTTTTCAATTTTTTTAAGCGATTTAGACTATAGATAGAAAATGTGCAGGCTTCTGGGCAAAGTCACTGGGAATAAGGCCTACTCACTACGGACTGGTGGAAACTTGGCGATATTTTTAATATTTATCTTCATGGAGGATCAAATGTTTTCTAACTAACTCTGGGCTAGGAAGCCATATGCCCTGGCTCTACCCCAGTTCTGAGACCTTGCATAGGACACCTCCTCTCTCTGGGCCCAATTCTTCATCTGGAGGAGGTTCCTGCCAGTGTTGACATTCCATTGTTGTATAAAAATGGGGTCCTCTGGTTTATTTTCATCAGGGGCAGTGCCTCTCTGTAGGAGAAGAAAAGCTCAAGATCAGCTGTCTTAAGTGACTCACCAGTTCTATCAAAATTCAAGTCCAGTCAGCTGTTGGACTGGACTTTGGCGCACGGTGAATTGAGGCCAATTTGAATGCGAGGGCTTCAGTGTACTTCCAAGCATTCATGACAGTTTTCTTACCCCTAACTTGAGGAAAAAGATACTTTTATGCCAAAGTCTAGAAAGAGGCCTGTAGCTATCAGCGTGAAGCCCGAGCTGTTGGGCCCCCTCTACCTCCCTCGGGGTCAGGACTGCCTGCCTGCCTTCTGCCGCCAGCCCCACCTGGACAGACACGGAGAAAGCCTAAGGTCTGGGACCAAGAAGGTGTCTCATCATCCCCAACACATCCTGGAAGTAGAATATGGATCCTCAGCCAGGTGGAGACATCGATCAGCACATGCAGCCGTAGACTCCAGCTGAGCAGAACAGACAAGGTTTTCTGAGGCTGTCTTTGGCTTCCTTTCCCCTTCCCCCGCTTCCATTTGGCTTATGGGCTGGCTAGAGGTTAGTGGGACAGAACAGAGATAAGCCAAGGAGACTGGCAGCGGGGAGATCACCTCTGGGGAAACTGCCTGGTAGCTAAGAGCCCTGGCGCCTGCCGGTCTCCCTGTTCACCCACCTGGACATATGCCCCTTAATAACCTCCTCACCTTGCTGCCTCAGGATCTCGAGGAGCCCTGGCTGGGCTGGGGCGCTGCCAGCAAGCTCTCTTCCTCTCTGGGAAGAAATGGAGAATGCAAGGGTGTGGAACTGCCTTCCTTAATCGAAGACCTCACAGGTTCCATTCTGCAGGGGTTTATTAGAATCTGTTGGTGCTGCAGTGACAGGCTGTGGTGTCTGCCGACAGGCAAACTGTGCACCAGGAGGACTGGGTGACAGACTGCTCCCAACCCTTGTATACAAATGTCAGATTGGTATCAGTCTTCTGCCTTTGTGAAAACTGATGTCAGGGTGCTTTTAATGCCAGGCAGGGACCCAGGTTCCCATACTGCCCTTGGCTGGAACTTGGACCCCAAGGGCTCAAGCTAAAAAGTGACCGTCACTTTTTCACAGGAATGTAAAGCTGACCCTGATCTCTGAATTGGTTCAGTGGTCCCACCTTGCTCTGGATAGGAGTGCTGTGACAAGTATACTGTAAGAGTGGGGTAACATGTTACATGATTTGTGGGTATCACGATCCCTGTTTCCAAACTGAAGGACACTGAGCTGAATCTTGGCTGCTCTGAGCAGTTGTGAGATGGGTCCTGGGCTTCCAGCTGGGCTCTCAAGCACAGTATAATCAGCACTGGCTGCCACTTAACTGCATTTGTAGCTTGTATAGCATTCACAAAAGCAAAGCTTTCTCTTTGGCAAACAGGCTGGAGGAATTCCCCCTGAGGTGTGTCTGTGCTATGTTTCCAGGCCGGAGAGCCTGCCAGTGCTCATGTGGGACCCTCTTTCCCAGGAGAGATCCTATCAGTTTAGAATCAGAATGCCCAAGAGAGGCAGGCTGTTTTCATGACCTTCCTCTCTGCTCTCCCATTTTTCATAAAACCACTGGCCAAATCCAAACCACTGCTCTCTTCCCTTCACATCTGCCCTCAGATCTTGCCTCTGAAGGGAAAGCACTATGGAGGAAAGGAGTGGCAGAATTCAGAGAAGCTTTAAGTAACAAATGTAAAATCCAGTCGTCCGTGGACACTGCCGTGCTTATGTACAGCAGCCAGTCATGCCAGCAGTCACACTTCCTGGGTAATTCTTCACCCACCCCACAAAGCCTTCTCTTTGCAGACCAAAAGCTGGAAGGAAGGTTGCTTTCAGAGTTTGTCTTTACAACTGCACATGTGTTACCTTCCTTCCAAAGGGAACTTTACAAACCAGTGTGAATATTTAGCAACAAAAAAAACTGTCCTTGCTTTTGGTTCCTACTTTAAGCACAAAGTGGCTCTGGAGCCAGACTGCCTGGGTTCAAATCTTCAGCTTTGCCACTAACTAGTTATATGACCTTGGCCAAGTCCCTTCACCTCCAAGTTCCAGTTCCCACATTAGTGAAATGGAGACAACACATCACAGAATTATCGGTTCAAGTGGAACAAGATGACATGTGAAAACAATCGCAAGGCCTGACGCCTAGTGAGCGCCCTACAAGTGGGATGCTTCCCCCCACGGACCCTTCCCAGCGGGCTGCGGCAGAACACTGAAAGATGGGAAAACACGCCACCTTGGCAGTGGCACTGTGGTTTCCCAAACCAGGGAAGAAGTCTAAGGACCAAACGCATTCCCGTGCTGAGCGGAAATAGGGGCAGGGGCTGTGGCTCAGTAAATGGTTCCCCAGGGGCCCCTTGTCCCGTGGGATGTAGGCCAGGCCCACAGCTTCCTTCTGGCAATGGATAAAAACATTTTCCTAGCATTAAAATGGTTTCCATAACAGCTGTTCGTCCTGGCTTCTTAATAGTTGGTACCTGGCATGCACCAAAAATCAACACTACTATCCCATGGGGCTTGTACGTGTGAGTGGACTAGCACGGGTAGGAGTGTCCTTGTTTAGTGAAAGGTCCAGACACTCAGGAAATTCTGTCCTTGGGCTGGGCTGGAGGTGCCAAAGGAACCACAGGCCTCACCAAAGCTTCACCTCATCAGGTCAGACAGCAAAACTGTCAGGGAGGCTGGCCCTATCTTTTAAAACCTAGCTCTTTAACATGTTACCCCACAAAAAAGAATCTGCTGTTAGAGGGCAAGGACAGGCTGTCACAGGACATTACTGGCTCTGTTTGGCCTGTGACAAGTGTCTCATGGCTCAGGTGCTGCTAAGGGACCTTGAGCCTGCTTATACTTCCACTGTATCATTTGGAAAATGGAGAGTCCCCCTGCCATCCTGATAGCTGTCACTCAGGAGCTTCACAGACTAGGGCTGTTTTCTTCTGCATTCTCCTCTCCCAGTCACTGGTGACACTGGGGAGACAGTCTCTGGCAACACTGCTGACTTTTAAAACCAAAGCAGTTTTCTGAACTTCCCTTGGGCCTACAAGAACCCAAGGTTCTTATCCCAGTTCTGCCACTTGACTGCTGTGTGACCCTGAGCAAGTCTTAGCCACTCACAGTGAGCTTTCTCAACTGCAAAAAAAGGGTACTGTAAGACTTATGTCCCAGGGCCTTGACGGAAAACCAAATGACAATCGAAGTAGATAAAAGTACCTAACCAACACTCAGTGATACCTGAATCTGAGTTTAGGCCAACTACCCTGTTGCAGTTGCCCACAGGGACCGAGGGAACACAGCTGCCAACCATGAGGCCAAGGGAACGTGTTTAGAAGCCCAGACTTAGCTGTGCAGAAATCAGTGCTTCTCCCATGACTGTGGCTACTCACCCAGGCTGACCCAGAGGAAGCTGCGGTGGCGCCGGGAGGTCTCGGGTTCCCTCAGCACATATTTACACCAGGCCCTGATCTAAGTGCAAGGGCTGCAAGAAGCAATAAGCAGCTTCTGCCCACAGGGAGTTCAGCGAGGTGCCGGAGACCAGTGTGGCAAGTGCTGTGAAGAGGGTGAGCCTGGGTACTGTGGGAGCTCACGAGAGGAACACATCACCTCCTGGGTCTCAGGGGCCAGCAGTGCTCAGGGGCAGGAAGAGGCAAACAGGCCAAGGAAAAGCTTGGACAAAGGCTCAGGGCAAAAGAATGGGGGCGTGAGACCGCAGGCAGCAACCAGTTCTGTCACACAGAGGAAAGACGCAGAGAGACGAAGCTGGAGAGACTGGCCAGGGCCAGATCCCAGGTGCCTCACAGCCACATTCAGCAGACTGCTCCTGGCTTCCCCACATGTGGCTCTGTGATGTCACGGAAGCTGTGTTCTCTTGGAAGCTGGCAATCTCTACCCTGCCCACCTCCCAGCGAGGCTGAGACAAGACAGCAGCTGTGAGGTAGAGCTAAGGAGCTGTTAGGATTCTTCTGTGGAGAAAAACGGGAACACACGTTGGGCACCCAGGCAGAAATGACTTCACAGTGATCTGCGAAGCTCACGAGCCTCTTGCTCTATCCACACCGTGCAGCGGAGTGAGACGCAGCCCGCGTGCATCCTGCAGCCAGAGGACTATGACTGTGTCCCCACATCCTGGCTAAACACTCAAGAAAATGCGCTGGTTCTGACCATTGTTTTTAATTGAGGAAATCAAGTTAACCATACAAGAAGCCTGTAAACACTGGAATGCAGAAATATATAAGCTGCTACATAGAATTCTTACTGTGAAACAACGCAGATCTACATGAGGTCTCTCCTGCTATGGGAGGTGGTGTGTGCAAGAGGGAGATTTTTCTAACTGGGGCTGACAGTGGCGTGAAGTCAAAGGTACGAAGGTTTTCCGTAC